GGAAGGGAAAGAATACGCCTCCTCCTCTCCATAGGCCAGAGTCATATCCGTGGGACAACAGCTGGCCAGAGCCCAGATATGGTAGAACAGGTGAGAGAGAAGAGGGGCAGAAGGAAGAGAGGAAAGGGGGGAGACAGAGGTGAAGTCCAGCTCCTTATGTGGATAATCATATCCAAAGGGACTCGAACACTATGGAAAATATAATGCTCTAATAAAAACAATTTGACATTTCTTCTTATGTAATTTCTGCACATGTTCAAGAAAATATCTTCCATTTACACCCAGATTGGTGGATTGCTGGAGACCATTGTTGATAAGCTTTCTTTTAAGAAGCAATTGGCATAAAGTGTTGTTCTGAAGTGACTACAAAAAATGAGGACTAGTGGCTCCCATTAATGTGGTGTTAGAACTGTGCACAGCAATGAGTTCAGATCACGTGAAATATTGACACCAGGACATTGCCCAACCCGAGACACACGGTAAAGAGAAAGGAGCTCACTAAAAAGTCCCTTATGTAATATTAGATGAGGTGATCATCCCAGAAGATGAGTAGAATAGTTACAGTATGAAAAAAAACCAAGGGGAAAAGCCACCCCAGATAGCTCACAACAGAACCGACCCCTTTACCACAACAGGGAAGGGAATGCCAAGGGATTCAAAAAGTTGATAATTAAAATTTTCCATGAACTACAAGAAGATCTAAGGAACTGACTCAGAAAGAATATCCAGGAAATCAAAGAACACTCAGATAAAGAAATAGAGGTTCTGGAAAAGAAGCAAACAGGAATCCTGGAAATGAAAGTCTCAATAAATTAAATTGAAAATTAAGTTGAAAGCATCACCCATAGATGAAACTACTTTGAAGATGGGTACTCAGGCCTTCAAGAGAAATTCTACAATCTCAAAAACAAAGCTGAGGATAAATAAAAGGTGTTAAGAGGTCATGACCAGAATATTCAAGAAATATGGGACAAAATTAAGATACCAAGTCTAAGAATCATTGGCATAGAAAAAGGCATTGAATTACAAACTAAAGGAATGCACAATGTTTTTAATGAAATAATAACAGAAAAATTTCTAAACCTTGAGAACAACATGGAAACTCAAACACAAAAGGCACATTTAAATAAACAAGATGCAAACGTTCCTCTGCAACACACACTATGATGAAAACGCCTGACACACAGAGCAAGGATGGAATGATAGTTGTGAGAGAAAAAGCTGGTTACATTTAGAAGTAAACTAATAGAGTTCTACTGATTTTTTAGTCCAGATACTGTAAGTTAGGAGACCTGTAATAATATACACAAATCCTAAATGATAACAGAGGCCAACCAAGATTTCTGTATGCAGCAAAGCAAGCCTTCAGAATTTAAGATGAAATAAAAACTTCTCATGGTAAGCAGAGACTAAAAACAACAAAAAAACAACAAAGACATGACCACTAAACCAGCACTACAGTGCACACTCAATGAAATAGTTCATGCAGAAGAAGTGAAAATAAACATGAGAGCCAGTGCAGGATGAATTTCACTGGATGAGTTGTCAACTACAGAAGAAGCAAGTCTGAATTAAGAATTAGAAACCAATTAAAACATCAGGAAATAAAAATCAGAGCCACTGGATCTGGCAAGGGGTCAACATGGGTTCCTTGTGCAGAGGAACTGATCACAGGGATTGGCCAAAGCAGAGACACTAGGTGTGACCTGCTCTCATCACCCAGGTCTGAAATTTTGTCAGCTTGGGCAAAAGTGCTCAAAAAACAAGTGGTCAGACTTAGTTCCAGTCCAGATGTTCTGATTTATAGCCAGGATCGCTGCTTGTGGATTCTGTGCAGGATGGTTTGGGAGAGAAGGGCAGTCAGGACACACTTTCCAGACAGGTAGAAGGGGAAATGCACATGGTGTCCAGGCAGGAGAAGGCCTCACCAATGACCCAGGGGTCACTCTGCTGTCTTGACAGAGCAGGGAGGAGGTCTCCATCTTAAGACCTCTCCCTAGATCTGATCTGTGTCTACTTCATGTTTTCCAGGCATCTCTGGGGACTGGAAGAATCACCTCACAGTGGCCCAAGCTGAAGCCTTTGATAAAGTTTACCAGGAGAAGATGGCGGGTTTCCCCAAAGAGCTGTTCCCATGGGAGTAACCTCTAACAGGTCCAGGATCTTCCATGGACACTGTGATGGTTTTCCTGTCCTGGGACATGCTCAGGATTGAGGGGTTCTTCACATAAAAATCATGTCTGTAGGAAAAGAGGGTGGGGAGGATAGGATAACATAAAGAACCAATGAAATATAAGAAAATTAAGGAGCAAAAAGAATTCTAGTTGGTTAGAGGAGGAGAATGGAGGGGGAGGGGCATGTGGGGAAGGGGGATCAGGAAGGGAAATAAACTTCCACACATGGGTGGGTTTCTCTGCATGAGCCCAACTCCTATGTGAACCTACAAAGCTCTGACAGAATATATAACCTGTTTCTTCATTCTGAGCCTGTATTTTGCTTCTCTCATCACTTGCTTGTAAAAATGACTGGAATTTCCCTATTCCCTTTGTCAAATCTTGGCATTTAAAAAAATCATGTATAATTTTATACAGACAGAAGTCCACCAATATAAGATGAATATCACCCAGAATTGCTTCTCATTCTTAAAACAAGAAATACAATGTAGCAGCACCTAGGGTTCCTTTTCTTTACGTGCATCTCCAGATTGTGTTGTGATGAGGACCTGGAGGAGTGTGATTTCCAGACTAGTTTATTCTCCTTCCTGGTGGTGTTTACATCATAAATAACAATTGCTCTGTCTGGGACTTTTAAAATTTACATTAATGGTGAAAGGAACAATATATTCTGTGCTCTCATTTCTACTCAGCATTTAACACATGGTTTTATCTGAGCTGAGGTGTAATGAGTGGTTAGGAATTGACTGAGACTTGGGACACAGTTTCCTGTTCTCCTATAAGTGACCTTGGATTTCTCCCTCACCAAATTCCCCATATTTAAAGCACTATTTGGCAAGCGTCACACAAAACAAAGGTACGAGTTTTCCTAGGATACATTTAGAACTGAACTGGACTGTTCACTCATTGGCCTCTGGTAGATATTATGAAATTTTTCTCTATAGTCTTGTAATTAAGATAAAGTCCAAATAAACTCTACCTCTGACTGCTTTTAGTTCACTGTACAGTTCACTAAATTTGGAGGTCATGCAATGGAGCTATGTAGTATTAGTCTCCTGCATTTACTCCTCAGCCTACACTCAAAGGACTTAAAATCAGCATAAGTTAGTGACAAGCCACATCAATGTTCAAGGTCACCATTACAGAGACCCAGGATTTCTATCAAACCAAATGCAATGTAAACACAATAAGTGTATTTTATTTATGTTTTTTTCATGAGCAATTTGTAAATCCCACCCTCCACCTGTGAACACAAAGCAGTGGTAAGGGTTATCTCACTGCCCACCAACAAGGCTTTTCACACTGTTATCAGTGCAGCAGAGCTGGGCAACTGGACATCTCAGGGATCATTTCCAGCAAGGCCTAAACTTGGCTCTCAAGTCTGCAGAACCAGAAGTTCAAATGGGAAGAACTAACTGGGGGAAAACACACAGTCATGAAGGTTAGCCATAGAAAAGACGTTGGAAATCATTCTCGCCTACTCTCTGGCAGGCATGAACATCAGACATTACTTATGAGGATCACAGAGCAGGTCACGGGCACTAGGCTCATGGGCAGCAACAGTCATTCTTCTTCACAGCTGCTCAGCTGCCCTGTTTGGGCCTGAAGGCTCTCTCCACATAGAGTCCCAAATTCCTCACACCAAATCTCTGAGGAAGGCCTGGCCTGTGAATTCATCCAATGGCGGTTGGTGATGTGCCCATTTTCAGGGAGTGTCTTGTTTGACTGGAGGTAGATGGTTAAAGCCAAGTCCCCCCATCCTAGAGTATGCAGTGCAGATGAGGAGAAAGATAATAACCCCACATTCACAGAAATGAATGTCAACGTAGATCAGGATCAAATGTAGAGTGTGGAGTCAGGCAGAGACGCCCACTGTGGAGTATCACGTCACGGTGAGGGGAGAGACAGAGTCGTCAGAGTCCCCATTTTAGATAGTGATAAGAAGGGCCCTCTGAGCCGGTGACAGGGCTTTCCTTGACATGAGGAATGGAGAGAGGGAGAGAGAAGGATCTGCCATCTTTCAGGAACAGTTGTGGCAGACAGAGCCCAAATGAAAGTGACCTGAAATGGAGACAAGTTCAGGCTGTTTGAGGAATGGCAGGAAGGCCACCTGGGTTGTATGAGGGTGGCTTCTCCTCAGCTCTGGAGGTAATTTGAGAGGGAGGCCCACTCAAAAATTCAAATACACGGAGTTTCAGGAATTCCTGTGTGTTATATGTTCAGTTGTTCAACCCTCAAAGTCAATAAGTACTCAGCCAGAGGTTGGGGTTCAGGCCTGGGTCCTAGCTACTATATGACTGAGGCAGGTGGATTGCCCCTATGACCTCACCTCCATTTTCTCACATCTGTAAAGACCCAATTTCCACAAAAGGTCACAGTCCAAGTACTGGAGGTTGTGACATCAGGACCTTCTGGCAGGACACAGTTCAACTCCTGAGCCCTACTTTAGGAAAGGCAGGGTGTGACAAACAATGGTAATGTCCCTCAACATTGGGTCCACGCCAGATGCTGCCTGGGGTCTTGAGACTCCTGTCACCCTCTCCAGGATTCAGGTGCCAGGTGTGATAAGGGGCACAGGCATGAAGGGCCCACCAGGGTCCTGGGCTTCATCACTGAGGGAGAGATGAGGAGGGGAGGGAGGAGGGAGGAGGCCAGAGGAGCAGAGGGGACAGCTGGGGACACAGTCCACCTGAAGAAGAGTGGGGGAAGGGATTTGCTGGTGGGTAAGTGGGACAGGGCCCAGGGCGGGGATGAAGGGAGCCCAGGTGGACAGGGAGGCTGTGCTGTGACAGCAGACCAGGAGCCACATGGTCACACAGCGTCACTCAGCAAGCTTTATTAGGCACCTGTGTCCTCATAGCTGAATTGGCCCCGAGGATCTAGCCCATGACAGGGGCCCATTCCTCCTTCCCTGGGGTCACCCGCCCACGGGGGCTGCAGCAGCCAGGTGAAATGACAAGGGAGAGTTAGGTGGCTTTGGTCTCCATCACCACATCCATTTTGGCCACATGAACATTGGACACGGTGGCTCTGATGCTCAGGGAGCCATCCTTCAGCTCCAGGGCCCCCTGAGGGTCTGCAGGATGCACTTCACCACCTTGGGATCCGGGGCCTCCTTCTCCAAGATGCCATCAAAGACCTGCTCCAGGCCGTCCTGGGCCAGCGGCCCCCTGAGCACGGCCAGGGCAAACTGGATGCGATGGAGGGTGTAGCTGAAGGGGACGGAGAACAGCAGGGCCAGGTGCTCGTCTGGGCCCTGGTAGGCCAGCAGGCCCGCCGTGCCCTGGAAGCTGGAGGCTGTCTTTGTGAAGGAGCAGTGGACAGTGGACTTCGGGGGAAGCACAGGTGGTGGTCTCACGTGGGCCTGGCCACTCCGACAGCAGAGCCTGGGAGAGGAGTTGGGGCCCCATGTGTCTGCAGGCAGTGTTGTGCACTGCACGAGAGGGACTCATGGCTTGGGAGAGACGCTCGTCCACTAGGTACCTGGATTGCCCCAGCCCCACCACCTACCGTGGAGCTCCTGTCGGCTACATTGATTTGTCCAACATTATGAACGCTAAGCACACGTGTGCAGAACTCGGCCTACAGCTAACTCTTCCCCTGCGTCACACGCCATGGCACCCGCCAGAGTGCACAGGATGGAGCTCTGTCCATGTCTCCAATCCCATGTCACTCAGGGCTTCTCCCACACCCTCCCTGACCCAGCCTTCATCCTGTTCCTTAAACAGAACAAAGTCACTCCTGCCAGGACCATGGCTACCTGCTCAGCATCCAGGCCCAGGCCACAGGCTCTCCCTCTGGGGCCTTCCCAGAGCACCACCCCCTTTCCTAGGACCCTCGTGTCACTCCCAACACACACTGAGCCCTGTGTCTTCACAGCTTGGACCTCTCTCCACACCCACCCTGCAGATCCTTGGCTCCCATGTGTGGGTCAAGTGTCCACCCCTGAAATGCTTGCTGCCGTACAGGTATGCAGTAGGCACCCAATAAATGTTTATGGAATGAGTGAATGGACACCGTGATGAGCAGGGCTGTGGGGCCTGACCCCCAGGGCTATAGGCCCAGTTACAAGGACAGAGGATCCACAAGCAAGAACAAGCCCTGAGCAGGACATGAGAGAACTCTGGGGTGGTGGGAAGGCCGGGGACAGCAGAGCGGGTGACAGGGAGACCTCTCAGGTTGGGGTGAGACCAGCTCCTGGCAGGACAGAGACTCGACCTGAGATGAAAGATGGACAGCCAGGAGGGACGGGAGCTGTGGCCTGTAAACAACCTGCCCGAAAGAGGGGAGGGCCACTGGGCGGCTGAGTCCAGCCACCGTCCTATGCTCTTCGTGAAGTCTGTGATTTATTGGTTTGTACCCACACACTAGAGCCATTGGGTGGGTCCTGTCGTGAACTGAATTGTGACCACCCCCCCGGCAGCCCCCAGATTCGCATGCTGAAGTCCAACCCTGGTGCCTCTGAACGGGACCTTATCTGTACAGAAGCTTTAAGACGTGACTCATCTAAAGTGAGGTCTGTAGGGTGGGGGTGCCCTGTGTCCTCAGAGGAAGAGATCAGCATGCACACAGAGGGGGACCACCCTGTGAGGACACAGAAGACGGCCACCTGCAAGCCAGAAGAGTCTTCAGGGGACACCAGCCCTGCAGACACCTGAATGACCTTCAGGGAGGAGACAGGAAGGGACTTACATGGGATCCTTGAACGTCACACCTGTCCTGTTGGTGATCTGGATGCCCACAGTACGGGAGCCTCGGACGTCTACCACTGTGTCCTCCAGAGAACACTCCTCTTCATCCCCAGCTGGGAGCTTTGGGTCCTCGCTGAGATCCAAGCAAGAAGCTGTGACTTTCCCCCACAGGGACCTCTGAAGCCTGGGCAGCTATTAGTGAGACACAGCAGGGAGGACCCCGATGCCCCCTGAGGTTCCCACCCAGAGCCGCTGCCTTCAAACACATTTCCCTCAGTGACAGATTCAGGAGCTGCTGAGCCTCCCAAGCTCTGCTGCAACCCCACCTCCAGCCCACACAACGTACCTGAACTTGAACTTGACTTCTTGGTAGAGCCCTCCTGGGCTGGAGATGGTGAGCTCCTCTACCTCTCCTGAGCAGAGCTCCTCAGGGTCCCTGGGGCTTGAGCAGGTCTCTGTGCCAAGGGCCGACCCAGGTGCCAAGGGCAGAGAACTGACAAGACAGGGCACAGTCCTGCACCGTGGCAGCTCTGGCCCTGCACCTGCACAGCCTGTCTTGTCCTGTGCGCACTCTGTACCCCCAGGGTCCAGGGAGCAGTGCAGGGCCCTGTCCCGTGTGCTGCCTCCTGAGTGCTGCAGCTTGAGCCCCAGAGAGGCTTCACCCAAATGGTGTCACCTGCCTCCATTTCTATCCCCAACTGAGCAAAGGAACCCAGAGGTGGTAACACTCAGTGCTGGCAGAGTGGACCCAAGGGACTCAAGGCATTCATCAGGGGCCACATCAGGGTTGTCCCATGTCTGGCTGAACTGTCAGACCATCAGGGAGATCTCAGGGAACTGGTTGCCCTCAGGTCCTCTAGCCACACACAGCCTCCTCAGTCCAGGGCTCTGACTCAGTTTCCCCAGACTCCTCCTTCCAGGAGGCCCCGTGACCACAGAGCCAGCACAGAATCCACCAGCAGGACATGGACACCTCACCAGCTCCCATCACGGGGGCTCATCTGCCTCCACCCCACACTCACAGCCACCAGGGCACACGCAGTAGCACTGCCACGTCTTAAGGACCAGAAAGTGGGTTCCCAAGCTCTGCAAGGACCAGAGTCATCAGCAACGCAGCTGAAGTCATTCCATCCAGGAAAAGTGTCCCCACTAACCCCCTGAGGGCATCCACTTGCTTACTTATGCCCAATTCTCCTGGAGTTTTCTGCATGTCCCTGTCCAGTGTCTAAGCCTCTGATCAGGCAGAGCCAGGCTCTCATGGAGTCAGCGCCCACAGCTGTAGGGACACTGTCCTGAAGGAACCTTCTGCACAGCACAACTCCTGAAGTAGCTGTGATTTGACATGTCCTAAATGCCATCCAAAGAGCATACCAGGCCCTCCTTAGAGCTGCAGAAAGCACATTAGGTCACTCAAGCCCCTGATAAGTCCTACAACAAAGAGCACTGTTTAAGTGTCATGTAGCATGTTCCAAACTTGACTACAATAGCTATGATTCTCAACCAGGGGTGACTGTTGCTCCTTTGATTGTCATAAGTAGGAGGAGCTCCTGCCTCTTAAGAGCAGAGGCCAAGGGTTGAAAATCATCCTGCAGTTTCCTGTGGCCCCACAGTAGGGCATCATCCAGCCCACACGCCAGCTGTGCTGACGGGGTGGGGGTGGGGGGTCCTGGGCCACCTGAGAACCAGTGTGTGGGGAGCCCTGCACCTTGTGGATGGGGCTGGGTGTCTGGTGATCCCCAGTGGGACAACCAGAGCCTTTCCAGCCAGCTGGAGTAGGGACTCCATCGTGCAGGAGAGATGGAGAGGTGGAGGCCTGGGAGTGCTGGGCCACTACCTTCCAGTAGGTGCCTGCTGAGGGCCATTGCTAAGTAAGAATGACACATGGCAATTTATTTGTCAGCCTACCCAATGTTGCTTAGAGGAATGACTCTCCATATTGACCCAGGTCATTTGCAGTGTCATTGCATGTAAGGTGACCTTGCTCAAGGATCAGGGCAGATTGGGGTTTAGGGCGTTCCTGGTTTAGGACAATCCGGGTTTAGGGCGGTTCCAGGTTTAAGGTGTACCCTGCTGGGAATAGGGCGTATCCTGCTGCCTCAGGCACGCCTGCTCGTTGAGTTCCCATTGAGTTCTTGTGGGATTCAGAGAGTATTTTGGGATTTTGCCCAGAACATGATTGGGGCCCAGAACATGAATTCCCCCAGAACGTGTATTCCCCCAGAACGTGTTTGTAGAGTGCCGGTGTGAGTTGGGGAATAAAGAATTGCTGTTTGAATCTACAAGGCTGTGAGTGGCTCGTGATTGTGTGCCCAGCCAGACTGCAGCATTTTACAACTTTTTACTTTACCACACAGAGATTATCTCATCTAGAAACATTTCTTTCTTTTTTTTTAACCTTTATATTAAAATATATTTTCACATCTTGAATCTTTTTCTATCTCTTTTTTAACCATTAACCCTTTTTATAAATTCACATTTTGAAACAACTCTTATAAAATTTCTGATTTAGACAAATTACTCCACTTTAATAAGATGAAAGACTTTCATGTTTTTTATGATACTATAATACTATAATTGAAACCCAACTGAAACTTCTTATACTCTTTGTATATAAATTACACATGATAGAATCTTAACACTTAGTAACCTTGTTTCAGCAAAGACACAGACCAAAGCAATATTAAACCTTTTTTCCATTCACCAATTTATGAAAACACACATAATGTCAAGTAAAGAGTACTTGATTTTATATTTAGTGGTTGATATTTTAAAACTTTAGCTTTGTAAATTAATCAGATGTCTGTAAAAACCAAGATCTTAGACAAATGTAGTAAACAGAACTAGCCATCTCTTTCTTGTTGAAGAAAAATCCTTCTACAGGATACCATGATGGTCTCATTGATATACTTAATAACTCGTCTTTAAAAAGCCATGGGCTACATTTTTGTATTGTATCAACATATGTCCTAACTGTTCTTGGTCTTACTGGGGTGCCTCCTTCCTCTAATAATTTCTCTTCCTTGGGGGCAAACAACTTCAGTCCTTGAGTCAACCATTTTCCCCAGTTTGCCTGAGAAAGTTCTAGGAACAGGCAGCTGGGAATAAAAACAAAATAAGTCAAAACAAGAACACATTGTTTTTTGAATTGGTCACCCATTCTTTCGCTCTTCCTCAGGGGCGAGCAATTTCACTTACCTCCAAGCTTTAGACGTTCCCCGCACGGACCACCAAAATGCCGCAGTCTGGCTGGGCACACAATCACGAGCCACTCACAGCCTTGTAGATTCAAACAGCAATTCTTTATTCCCCAACTCACACCAACACTCTACACACGTTCTGGGGGAATTCACATTCTGGGCCCCAATCACGTTCTGGGCAAAATCCCAAAATACTCTCTGAATCCCGCAAGAACTCAATGGGAACTCAACGAGCAGGCGTGCCTGAGGCAGCAGGATATGCTCGATTCCCAGCAGGGTACACCTTAAACCTGGAACCACCCTAAACCCGGATTGTCCTAAACCGGGAACGCCCTAAAACCCGATCTGCCCTGATCCTTGAGCAAGATCACCTTACATGCAATGACACTGCAAATGACCTGGGTCAATATGGAGAGTCATTCCTCTAAGCAACATTAGGTAGGCTGACAAATAAATTGCCATGTGTCATTCTTACTTAGCAATGGCCCTCAGCAGGTGCCCACCACAGAGAGGCCACAGCTGCAGAAGACAGGAGGTGCCAGTGAGGGGCAGGGACACTGCTGGATATGCTGTGCCATCTGCATTCCCAGATCCCCAGAGCAGGCTTGCATTGCCCTGGGGCCTGGGGCTCCTGATTCTGTGAGATGCACCCACACTTTCCAATCAGCTCCCTTGTCTCTTCAATGGTCTGAGATCAGCTTTTTTGAACCAGGTAAAGAGCTCAGCCTTTCTAATGCTCTGAACGTCTCTGAATGACTCAAAGGAGTCACCATCATGGAATTTTGAGGAAAATGCTTGAGAATTAACTGAGAATGATTAAGGACGCCGGCCGTTAACTGATACTTCTGTGTGTCCCTCAGGCTTTACCTACTGACCCTGGAGAGGGGCAGAGCCACTTCCCTACCTTCTCCAGACGGGAGAACTGAGGCCAGAGAGGAACCTGAGGACCTGGAGCTTCCCACCTTGCCTCCCTACGGAGGGACGGAAAGACAGTCTCCTGGGCTCTGTGTGTCCTCTGCTCATCCAGCCTCAGGCCACACAGGAGCCAGGGTGGTCCTCTGAAGACTCCTTGCTCACAACTGGGGCTTCCTGGTACCTTGAGAAGAAAATTCCAACTCCTCCCTGGGTTTCCTCCTCTGGGCCCTGCCTACTTCTCTGTGGCTGCATAGAGACTCCCACAGATGTCCACGTCTGAATCTCTGGAGTGTGAGTATGTCACCTTCATGGCAAAGGACCTTTTCAGGTGTGGTCAAGTTAAGACTCCTCAGGTGGGTAGATGGCCCTGGTCCTGGATTATCAGGGTGGGCCTAATGCCACCACACAGGTCCTTCTTAAAAGGGACAAGAGGAGAAGGTGGAAGCAAGAGGTCAAGGCAGAGGCCACAAGCCAAGGAATGCAGACACTGAATGTCCCAGAAACTGAAAAGGCAATGAGGGAACCTCTCCCAGACCCCTCAGAAGGAATCAGCCTGGCCAACACTTTGGATTTAGCCCCCAAGACTCACTTCAGATTTCTGACTTCCAGAACTGCGAGATGACAAAGCTGAGGTTTTAAAGTTACTAAGCTGGTGGTCACTTGTTACAGCAGCAAGAGGACACTGATACTGATGCCTCATCTCCTCCACCTCTCTCTCTCAGACTCTTCTCCCGCCTCCCTCCACCTCAACTCTACATATGCAGCACCCTTGCTCCAGGGATCTCCACCTCCCCCTCCCCAAGGAGAAAGTGTGAAAGTTGATCCTTCACTTCATTCAGAAACCTTCTCTGATATGACCCTTCAAGTAGCTCGACCTGGTTCTCTCAGTGAACCCCGAGTTGTCTGTCAAATTGTGTCCCCCCAAGTTCCTGTGCTGAGGTCCGACCCCAGCACATCACACTGTGCCCTTCTTTGAGATTCATGTTTAGAGCGGCAGAGTGGAGTGACCTTGCGAGTGAGCTCTAACCCACACAACTAGTTTCGTTACGAAAAGGGGAAATTGTCCCAGAAGACCCAGAGAAGGAAGAGCATGTCAAAGGACACAGGGGGAAGACAGCCATCCCTTCCCAGCCCAGGAGGGAGACCTGGACAACCTCCCCACGCCCCCAGGAGGAGCCAGCCCCGCCCACCGCTGGGCTTGGATTTCTGGCCTCTGGACAGACAGACAGTAAATTCCTGTGTTTAAGCTCCCCAGGAAGCCAGCCACTCTTCATCCCTCCCCCTAGCCCATTCTCTCCTTGACGGTGCTCACGGTCTCTCTCCATCACAGAGGCAAGTCCCGAGGGACACGGGCCTCTCTTAACCACTGCAGTCCTCACGCCAGACACAGAGAAAGTCTCCAGCACGTGTTCACCGAGCAAAAGCCAAGGGGAGGGCAGGGTGGCCTGACCCCTACCTGGCCACGTTCTTCACCTCGCTGAGGATCTTCGTCTTGTTCATGCCAACGTTCTTCTTGGACACCTCCAGGAGCTGCGTCACCATGTCCCTGCTGTAGCTGTCGGCCCCCTGGAATGTGCCGTACCTGTCTCTCCATGACGGGATGTCATCTGAAGGAAATCACCCAGGTAGGAACAATGAACTCTGGAATTGTGTCCCCTGACTCCAGGTTTGGCTAATGTCCATGGTGGCCAAATCCAGCCGGCTCCCTACTTGACTTTACAAACAAAGACGGGTTGGCACTTGATGTTATGAAACTTCTCTATATTTTAGTATCTGGGTCCCCTGCCTGCAGAAGCTCCACATGAGGACAGATTTGTGTTCTTTTCTGTTCATCCACGTCACCTTGAAGAGCAGCTGACACTGCCTGGGTGACGAGCCAATATTTGCTAAGTGAAGAAGGCAGGATGCCCCTTACCTGCGAGTGAGCCTCTCACTGGAGGGCAGAGTGGAGAGGCCCAGAGGCCACTAGAGCCCGGCGTGGGAAGTGGCACCCCGGCCCTGCAGGACTCCCACCCTGCATGCCCCCTGCTCACCTGAGCCTGGATGATGTGTAGGGTGCCCAGGAGGCAGAGGGTGCACAGGAAGCAGGTCAGAAATGCCCCCAAGAGAGGAGGCAGCATGCAAACCACCCAAGGCTGAGACAGAGAGTAGGGCACCCTCCAGAAGCCCTGGGGGTGGGCAAGATGCAGGAATGACCAACAGTCAGCGCATGGGTATTCGTCTGGCTGAAGGCAGAGAGGAACTGAATCAGGCATTTTTGCTGGGGCACGTGTGCTCTGGACAGACAGAACACTGGGCCCATCAAGACCAAAGAGCTACCTTTTATAAAAGGGGAAACTGTTTTCTGAGTTTTGTTTCATTACTAGTATTGCCAAGAAATTCTAGAGAGTTTTGGCAATCACGTGACCCTGTGAGTGCTCAGTAGTTATGGAGTGGTGACATGTGTCTAAAGCACTGTGAACACTTATTATGTGTCGCAAGTTACATCATCCACCAGTCCCATGAGTTGAATGAGGGAGTGTGGACACCACCCAGGTGACAGAGTAAAATGGTGAGCTTTCTGATGGTTTAATGGTGCACTGTGGTGACACGTAATAGTTGGCTTCATTTTGACACAGTCATACCCGCATGGGATGACATTTGCTCCACTTCCGTCCCCAGTGGCTGTGATGTTCCTCCCCCACTTTTCCCTCCTCTATCCACTAGTATTTATGTACTTACGCTTTATAGGGATGCGTTAAGGTGGAGCCCACTGTGCTGTATTTATAATGCACACTGCATGGTTTTGTCCACTCCACTCTCCATTTTCTCACCTCCTTATTCTACATTCATCTTCCCTCTCTCTAACTTTATGATATCAGAGCCCCCCCCCAGTTTTCCCTCTTACATTGCTCCAGCTTTCACATATGAATGAAGATATTTAATCCTTCATTTTCTGAGCTGTCTTATTTCACTCAGCATGATGTTCTCCAGTTCCATCCATTTATCAAAGAATACTATAAGTACATTCTTCATTATGACTTAGTAATATTCCACTGTGCATATATATACACCACATTTTCTTAATCCACTCATCTGGGTTATTTCCCCAAACTTGGTTTATGTGAGTTATGCTGTTATATACACTGAGGCAGCTGTGACACTACAGTATTCTGACTTGGCATAAATGCAAAGGAGTGGGACTGCTGGGTCATATGGGATTCCATTTCTAGTCTTTGGGGTAATCTCCATAGTCCTTTCCTGAGTGATTGTACTAATTTGCAGTTCTACCCACCATGTGTGAGTGTGCCTTTTCCCCTACAACCTCCCAAGCATTTATTCTTTGTGTTCTTGATGGTTGACATTCTGAGTGGAGTGAGATGACATTTCAACGTAGTTTTGATTTCCATTTCTGTGATTGCTAGGGACTTTGAATATATATATATATATATATATATATATATATATATATATATATATATATATCTGTTGTCCACTTATATTTGCTACTCTCAGAAGTGTCTGTTCATGTCTTTTGGTAAAATGGTTACTTTTTGGGAGTGGGCCCAGGTGTCAGGAATGGTGACATTTACACATTGTACCTCTGAAGCAGTGGACCAAAGACCTAGAGTAAGACCAGAAACTTTATAACTGCTACGAAAATCAGAGTGTTAAGTCTCCAACATAGAGTCACAGGCTTCCTCCTAAGGCTCCTAAAATGTATGAAATAAAACAAATAAATAACAAATGGAAAGACATCAAATTGAAAGAGTTCTGCACAGCCAAAGAAGCCAGTATGTGAAGAAAGATGCTAAAGAATGGGAGAGAATCTTCGCCAGCTACCCTTCTGACAGAATATAGAAATAACTCAAGGAAACTAATCTCCAAAAACCCAAATACATCAGGCAATAAGTGGGCAAATGAACTAAACAGACATCTTCCAAAAGAAGAAATGCAGATGGTTAACAAATGTATCAAACCATGTTCAATCCTAGGAAATCAGGGAAATGTAAATCAAAACTGCAAATAGATTTCATCTAACTCTAATTAGAATGTCAAGAATGAAGACTGATAATAAATTCGATGAGGGTCCGGGAGAAAGGAGCACCTTTGCGCTGTTGATGGAATTATAAATCAGCACAACCACTATAGAGCTAGGAATGGAGATTCTTCAATGTTAGGAATGGAGCCACCACGTGCCCCAGCTCTGTCACAGCTTGATATTTACTCAAAAGAATTCCAGTCAGCATAGTAAACAGCAGTACATGCACCCCCTGGTTATGCCAGTGACACAATAACCAAGTTAAGGGAAACAACGTGTCAAATGATGAGAGGATACAAAATGTTGTATATATACACCAGGAAGCTTTATTCAGCAATAAAGAATTACAAAATTATGTCATTTGCAGGAAAATGAATTCAAATGGAGAACAGCTTGTTATGTGAGATAAGTAAGACTCAGAAGGTAAATGGTTGTACATTTTATCTCATATGCAGAAGCTGGAAAGGAAAAAGGAAATAGATGAGACAGTGGAGTCTTAAAAATGAACCAGGGGAGGGATGAAGGAGGGAAGGGGAAGGGGGAGGGGGTGTCCAGCAGTGAAACAGACCTGATTATGCTGTGTGCATGGTGTGTGCCACCTAGAACCCATCTCTTCCTGTGATCATCATGCACCAATAACATAGTAATGTAAAAAGGAAATGGAATCTTACTGAAGGTCATCACCCCACCAAGTGGCAGAGCTGCACTTGGTTCCCGTCTTCCATAGGAAACAACGAATCACAGCTCAGTGAAAATTGCCATTGATTCTCCCAGAGATGGAGGGAGCAGTGGGTCAGTTTTTATCTATTACAGAAGTGAAGATGTTGTTCCCAGTTTGCATTGAGAACATGGTGCAGTGAATCTGTCAATCCAGTGGAGGCATGTGAGCGTCATCCTCAGGTAGCAGGGTGGTTTGTCAATGTTAACCACAAGTGCTGAGCATGTGGTTTCATTGATGTCTTGCTAGAGCGGAGCACCCCATCCTTATGGGTATTCCTGTCAGGCCTGAAAGAATGTGGATCCCTCAGGCACTCAAGCTGCTCAGAGCTGCTAGTTACAACTGAAGGCAATTCCAACATTTCCTCCACTTTTATTAACTTTGTTGCCAAAGGAGAACCCTGATGAGAGAACAAAGGAAAAGGAAAAGCTTAGGAAAAAAAATACGAAGGACCAAGAAGGAGAAAGGCATCCAGACATGGCCCATTCCAAGGTGCCAATCTTGCAGATCCTTCTGTGCTAGCGGGCACCTTAGTTAAATGTCCCCTTTTTATCTGTGACAGGGGTTGTTTGATACCTGTGTTTCATAGATGCACAGCACAGAAGGAACGTAGGTATTCAACCTTGATGGGTGTGTGTTGATTTTTATTGTAATGTTCATGGGGACTGATTCAGGGCATCATGTGAGGCAGGCAAGAGCTCTACCCCTGTGTTACATCCCAAGCACTGAGCATTCCATATTTTGAGATGGAGTCTTACAAACTGCCCAGAGTGACCTCTAAAATGCAAACCACCTGCCTCAGTCATATAGTAGCTAGGACCCAGGCCTGAACCCCACCCTGTTGAGGGCCACAACCAAGTTAAGATGGCGCCTGGCAGTTTGCCAGGAGGAGTGGTTTGGGAGGCAACACCACTGAGCCATTAAGGTGGTAGAGATTCCTTATTGGCTGACTGCTGTATCTAGATGATACTAATTGAGTCAAGCTGTGTGTAATCAGTTAGGTATATATACCTCTGCTGTCTCGCAATAAAGCAGCTCTCTCTACCTTGAGTGCCTGCTCAGTTCCCACTGAGTTTCCCTGCAATAAAGCAGTTCCTACTTCAACCTTCAAGTTGCTTGTCACCTCCCGGTTATTTGGCTCAGCCGGACTGGGGCATTTGGTTGCCCATACGGGGAACTATAGGACGCTTCAGAGTAAGTGACAAGGTAAATAGCTCGCCCCTGAGAGGATGGGTGACCATTTCAAGAAACAGTGTGTTCTTGTTTCATTTTGTTTCATTTCATTTTTAAGCTGCCTGTCCCTAGAAATAAATAGGATGGGAGAAAAGGTGTTTGCCCCTGAGGAAGGCGTGCATGTGGTCGCGCCCGGGGGGATGGGTGCCCTGGCGGCGAGCCACGGGATGCCGTGGTATCATCCACTGTTGCACATGCCCCGTCGGAGTGGGGCTTGCACCGCAGAAGAACAGATAGTGCGAGAGGACAGATGGACATTTCAAGAAAATAGAAAAATTGATACAATGTATTTTTGTTCCATTTTTGTTTTGTTTTGTTTTGTGTTATCTTAGTGGGTTGTGTTATCTTTGATACAGAAATATGGGATCAGAAGTTAGTAAGAACCAAACCGAAAGGGTGTTAAGTAAAGAAGATGTCTTAGATATAGTAAAAAAGGAAATCTCTCGAGCTAGTCAGAGGGGAAGAAAGTTTAGAGGAGGCTGCTACTAACACCGAAAGTTTAGAGGAGGAAAGACTATCAGGGTAGAAGTTACAACAGGAGGCTGCTACTAACCCATTTCTATCACTAAAGGGTGCAAGTATTCAACCAACAGCTCCACCTATGGAGACAGCATATGCTGGGTGGCCCCAACCCCCATAGTTGATAGATGGGATCCTGAGACAGGACCTCAAAGATTAGCATGCCCTGTATTTGAGAATGAGAGAGGGCAGCGATACCACCAGGTTTTGGATTTCAAAACTGTAGAAGAGTTGAAAGAAGCTGTAGCAGCCTAGGGTCCTCAAGCCCCTTTAACTG